TTCAACCACTGGTATAAGACATTGATGAAAGTAACTGAAGAAGTCACAAATAAATGGAAAGGTATTTTGTGCACAGCTATTGAAAGAATTAATAATGTTAAAATTAGAGATCTACAGATTCAATGCAATACCTATCAAAATTCTAATGACATTTTTCACAGAAATAGAACAAACAATCCTAAAATTTGTTGCAACCACAACAGATTTTGAATGGCCAAAGCAATCTTAAGAAGACCAAAGCTGGAAGCATTATGCCTTGAATTCCAAATACAGGGTGGGGCAAAAGTAGGTTTACAGTTGCCCCACCTTGTATATTACACAGTTACAATAATGAAAACAGGGACATAGATCAGTGGAACAGAACAGACAGCCCAGAAGTTAACCCACACATTTATGGCCAATGAATTTATGACAATGGAACCAGGAATATATAATAGGGAAAGGACAGTCTCTTTAATAAACGATGTTAGGAAAACTGGACAGCCACATGCAAAATAATGAAGCCGGACCACTATCTTATAACCCAAAATAGGTTAAAGACTTGAACGTAAGATCTGAAACCATAACTTGACATCAGTCTTGGTGATGACTATTATTATTTTTTTTAAATTTCACACCAAAAGCAAAGGCAATAACAGCAAAAGCAAATGAGACTACATCAAATTAAAAAGCTTCTATGCAGCAAAGGAAACCAATAACAAAATGAAAAGGCAACCTATTGAATGGGAGGAAAGACTTACAAATCCTATATATGCTAATGGGTTAACATCCAAAGAACTCACACAACTCAAGAGCAAAAACAAACAAACATTCTCATTAAAAAATGGGCAGGGGATCTGAATAAACATGTTTTTTTTTTTTTTTCTGAAGAAAATGTACAGATGGCCAACAGGTATGTGAAAAGGTGCTCCATCTCATTAACCACCAGGGAAATGTAAAACCCCAGTGAGGTAGCACCTCCCACCTGCTGGGATGGCCATCAAAAAGACGGGAAATAACAAGCAAGGACGTGGAGAAAAAAGAACCCTTTGCACTGTTTATGGGAATGTAAATTGGCGCAGCCACTATGGAAAAACAGAACCCTATGGCAGTCCTTCAAAAAAAATTAACAATAGAACTACCATATGCTCCAGCAATCCCACTTTTGAGCAGTTATCCAAAGAAAACGAAAACACAACCTCACAAAGATATAGGCACCCTGTGTTCGCTGCAGCATTATTTACCCAAAACATGGAAACAACATGTGTCCGCCAAAGGATGAATGGATAAAGACAGACACACACACACACACACACACACACACACACACAATAGAATATTGTTCAGCCATAAAAAGGAGAAAATTTTGCCATTTGAGACAAGATGGATGGAAGTTGAGGGCATTATGCTAAGTGAAATAAGTCATACAGAGAAAGGCTATTACCATAGGACATCACTTACATGTGGAATCTAAAAAGTACGGTAGTTGAGCTCGCAGATACAGAGAACAGGTTGGTGGTTGCCAAAGGTAGGGGGTTAGGAAGTGGGTGAAATAGGTCAAAGGCACAGCCTTGGGGATGTAATATGTAGCATGGTGACTACAGTTAATAATGCTGGACCGAGTATTGGAAAACTAAGACAATAGATATTAAAAAGTCTCACCACTCACAAAAAATCTTGTCAACACATATGGCGACAGGTGCTAACTAGACGTATTGTGGTTATCATTTTGCAATATATATAAACATCGAATCATTATGTTGTACACCTGAAACTAATGCATGTTAATTACATCTCCGTTATAGGCCAGTTTATATCTCAATAAAAAATGGAAGTGGTTGAATTGCTAATCAATCCATGACTTTGAGTGGGGCAGGCTGGCCAAAGCAGCGTGGACTGTTAACTGAGACAGTAACGAACAGTTGCTGCCTTGGATCTCTCACACACAAAATTAAACCCAACTCAGCCAGCTGCCCACAGAAAGCAGGATTTAATGTACCTAAGAACCCAGCAAGAACAATTAACCATTGGTTTTGGGAGGGGATTAAAAGGTTATATTTTCTAATGTGAAATCAAATTAACCTAAGAGGGATTTTGAATTTATTATGTGTTTTTTAATTTTTGGGGGTCATTTTTCTCAACCAAATAACAATGGCCAACATAACTAATATTAGGTGGTAGGAGCTTTAAATGTTTTCATATGAAGCAGCAAACTTAACATAAAACTCAAATGTGAGCTTCCTAGCTGCCAGGGCAAAGAGGGAAAGCATACAGGGGACACAGCCCTTGTTATGCAATGACTTGGGGCATATCAGAACAAAGTAAAGACAATTTCAGGATCCTTAGTTCTGACAGTCAGGTTGGAATGGGGCTCCTTATATAGAGGAGCATTCTAAATAGAACAAAATTTTCGGTGACAGTTTTTTTTTTTAAATCATAAATGTTCTGTGTAGAGAAATTTACATTTGACATGCTTCCAGTCTTCACTGAGGATATGATAATTAAGCACACTCTGATGAAATCCTTTCTGAGGGGAAATAGCTCTTGGGTGATTTGTGTAAATTTAAGGATATGTTTGGGGAATCAGTTTTGAAGAATATTCTCAGGAGACGGTTCCTTCCTGGGTGCCAGCTGTACGATTCTGGATCGCTCGGCTTTGGCTCCCACCACGAGCCCCCCCGTATCGCAAGATGCGTGCTTCCTTTCAAAAAGAAATTTTTTTTAGAGTAAAAGGTGGACATTTATTGAGAAACAAGCACAGACTCCCACGTGGGGAGGGAGAAGAGTCCCCGCTTCCTTTCAATTGGATGAGGGCAGGTTCCACACTCTCTTCAAATTCCCGTGGTCTCGTTTTCATGTCGATTAGCCACGAGCACGTCATTTTATGAGTCCTGAAAAGCCCTTTTCTGGGTTGCCCTGTCCTGGCTGTCAAAGGAGGGGAGCTGAGCGCTCGTTTAGGGGCCTCCCTGTTCTTTGGCTTCCAGAGCTAACGGCCCGCACACAGGCCTCTCAGCCAGGGGCTGTGAAAAGGGGTCTGTGAGCCGCACGTGGTCCTCAGACGTGTTTGGTTTGGCCCACGGTTTACATGGAGTTTTGCCAACATTTTTTAAATCAGCAAATTTCAGCAAAAAATTCAGAGCAGAAATATTTGAAGGCTGGCAAACCGGCTATAATTAAAGTAGTTCTCACTTAACGAACGCCGTTGATAGGTTCTGCAACGTTAAGGGAAATAATGTGTTATGCAACCAATTCTACCACAGGCTGATCGATATACACAGAGTTATGCTCCCATGGCAGCTCACCAAGGCTTTATTTATTTATTTTTTTACTTATTTATTTTTAATACGTTTTATTGATTTTTTACAGAGAGGAAGGGAGAGGGATAGAGAGCTAGAAACATCGATGAGAGAGAAACACCGACCAGCTGCCTCCTGCACACCCCCTACTGCACATGCCCTTGACCGGAATCGAACCTGGGACCCTTCAGTCTGAAGACCGACGCTCTATCCACTGAGCCAAACCGGTTTTGGCATCACCAAGGTTTTAATGAAATGACACAAAATGAGACAATGCTATTCGAGGACCCGCTGCTTCTGGATTTGAGGAGCAGGTGCCTCCTGTCCTGCTGCCTCCATCTACATCCAGGTCCCCACAACACCTGCGTGGTGGTCCTGGGTGTTATACACACACACACACACACACACACACACACCAAGGAGCTACATAGTCATGTGTGCAGGATCGAGGCCTTCCCAGCGCTCTCAACAGAACCCACATTCTGGGGGGTCCCCGCTGTGGAACGAGTCTGCAAGAAGACATACCTCGCCAGCTCGCTCCCTAGCCCAACGGGTCCCCGCAGCCACGCCCTGGAACTGACGGAAGCTGTGACCTGAGCTGAGGGAGGCATGGTCTTCACTCATGCCATTCCCGCCCAGTCATCGCCTGCTCACTGGCACACGGCTTCCGGAGGTTGCCATATGCACGCCCCAGGATCTGATTTCACAACGGCCTTGGCTAAGGAGCCAAGGGAGGGAGTATTTATTACTCATTAAAGCAAACCGAATTAACTGAGCCGGGAGGATTGTGCAAGGGTGCCGGAGGTGAGTGCCTGTGATTGTGTCTCTGCCTCAGGCAACAGGCCGGGAGGTGAGTCTTCAGAACCCACCACAGTACCTCCTCCAAGGTCACCGGGAAGCCTCGCTCACTCTCACCAGGATGCCACACGGGGAGGGCAGACAGCCAACGGTGGACCAACAGTCCCTCGCCATGCCGACTTCTGGGCCGTTCCACAGCAGCCACACGACCCCCACATACACTCCTCCTCATTCTTCACACCCACTTCAGCCCCGTTCCCTAGCCCAAGGTTCTTCTGGAACCTTCTTCCAGGCTAATGATCTAAAGCAGTGGTCGGCAAACTCATTCGTCAACAGAGCCAAATATCAACAGGACAACGATGGAAATGTCTTTGGAGGGCCAATGTTTTAAAACGCAAACTTCTTCTAACGCCACTTCTTCAACACAGACTCACCCAGGCCGTGGCATTTTGTGGAACAGCCACACTCAAGGTGTGGCTGGCGAGCCGCAGTTTGCCGACCATGGGCCTAAAGTTAATACATCAGTCTCAGATGGCTTTAGCAACATCATTATCGGATGGACGGAGACCACAAACTCATGCACGGGTACTTCTGGCTTCTCTCTGTATATTTTCTGTGCTCTATCTCATACGTTAAGTGCATCCTCCCTCCTTCCCCTTCACCCCCCACCCCCCACTTTGCTTTCTTTTAGTTCAAAATCCTTTGAAAAGGTCGCTTTCTATCACTACTATGGGCAGAGCAATCTAACACATAGAGAAATAAATGCACAACTTTCCAACGAGAAGGAAGTTGTCCACGCATCAGCCGAGGTCCTCTGGGGTGGCCCCTGGGTACAGGGGCACCGCGGAGAGACACACTCTGAGGCCAGGCTGCCGGCCACGCCCCGAGGCCCCGGCCGCCCGGCCCCCCGGCCGCCCCAGGCCTCACCTGTCCGGTAGCCCGTGCTGTTGAGGTACACGGCGAAGGTGCGGCTCTCGTGCTGCGCCTGCCAGGAGGGCGAGGAGCAGTTCTCGTTGTTGGTGTAGGTGTTGTGGTTGTGCACGTACTTGCCGGTGAGGATGGAGGACCGCGAGGGGCAGCACATGGGCGTGGTGACGAAGGCGTTGACGAAGTGCGCGCCGCCTTGCTCCATGATGCGCCGCGTCTTGTTCATCACCTGCATGGAGCCTGCAAGCAGAGCGGGAGGTCAGATGCCGGAGGTGAGGTGCTGCTCGGGGTTCGAACCAGGCCCCCGGGAGGGCACGAGACAATCAGGGGCGCTCAGCCCGAGGGCACCCCCCTTCCCGGGGAGGGGAGTGCATTTTGGAAACCTCCCGGGACGGATGGGTACACCTGGCACGTGGGGGCCGCGGCCAGCAGGGCACTATGGGATGGACCTTCCCCAGGAGGAGGCATCCTGGTCCCCAGGCCTCCTGGGCGTTAGGAGGGGCAGGTAACAACCTGTGTGTAAGTTACCTGAGCCTAGAATGGAACTCTGTCTGACCCAGAAACAGATTTTTTTTTTTTTTTTGAAGCAACTATTATGTAAACGGAGGGAAGACTACACTTTGCTTTGTTTGGGACCTTCCTAAGAATTGTCTGCTCTTCCTGAAACCTGGTCACGCCACCCCCCTGGCTCACCTCTGAACGCTTCTCAGCCGGAATGCTCGGCACCAGCCACCTCCCCCCGGAGCTAAGCCATCAGCAGAGCCTCTTGGAGTGCCCTCCGGACTCGCTCTGGTTTCCGATCCCCTCGAGCTCTCATTACACGAGCGGCGTGTGTTATTAGGACTTAATTACACACCACCGGGCGCAGTGGCTCCGTCATGCCTCTTCTTGCTTCCCAGGGAGGCTCTCCGCGGACTCAGGCACGCAGGGAGAGAGAGAACCGGGTGTGGGCACTGGACCGCGGGCAGGGGCTTTCGCATTCCCCAGAGGCCCCTGCTCCGGGCTCACGCCTCAGCGCCCCCACGTGCGGACAGCACCGAGGTGCTGTCAGTGCGTGAAGAGGGGGTGCATACTGTACTCCATGGCGGGTACCCCGTCACTCCGCAGCTTTCACGGAGAGAGCGGGATTTCTCTTCCTCTAGGGCCATCGCCGTTCTTTTCCTTTTGCCTGCTGTCCTTAGGGTCTGCCGGACTGCACGATAGCACGCTCTCAAATTCGCACCCATGTCCTAAGCCCTGAAACCTGTGAATGGGACCTAATTTGGGAAAAGGGTCTTTGCAGACCCCATAAGGACCTGGAGGTGTAACCGTCCTGGATTACCCGGGTGGGCCCTCACTCCAATGACAAGCATCCTTACAAGCGGCAGAAGCAGGAAGATGCAGACAGAGAGCGAAAGGCCCCGTGAAGATGGAGGCAGGAGCAGAGGGACGCATCTACCGGCCACGGATGTCTGGAGCCCCCAGACGCCGAAAGAGCCGGGAAGGACCCTTCCCCGGAGCCTTCGGAGGAACAGCCCTGCTGGCAGCCTCATTGCTAACGTCTGTCTCCAGAACTGAGAGAGTCCGTTTCTGTTGTGTTAAGTTTGTGAAAGTCTGTTAGGACAGCAGCAGGAACGCAATAGAGCATCTACCCGGCATTTGCGGCTCTGGCTGGGGAGCTGCTGGTCCCAGTCACCGAGAATTCCCTAGAGGCCTGACCACAACCATCAGACCCCTCAGCGCTCTGACCCTACAGGCTGAGAATGAAAAGGGGATCTGCGTAGCTCTCACCCGCCTTTCTGCCAAACACAGAAAGAAACCCACTTCCAGTGTTTGTCCGACCTCCTCTCCTCCTCCTCCTTGCTCAGCTGGCTGCACTGGCCTCCTCACTGCTTCTCACATGCTCCAGCTCATCTCTGCCCCAGGACCTTTGCACTTGCCATCGCCTCTGCCTGAGACTTTTTCTGAGATTTCACTTTGTCCCCCATTATTCAGATCTCAGCTTAGAGGCCACCTCCGCATCCAAGTCACCTCGTCCCCACCTGAAGGAGCCCCACGCTGCTGACTTCCTGCCACACCAGTGGACATGTCCTCTTAGCATCTACCTCCTGCTGAAATGGTGTTTTCCTGCTTTGCTTGGTTATGATCTGCCTCCTCCCCTGGACTGAGAGTTCTAGGGGATCCAGTTGCTGTCTACTCCTCCCTCCCCCCGCCCCTGCAGGCATATAGCGCTGGTGCTCTGTGAAACTCCCCGGATGACAGGAAAACAGCAGCGCCTGCCCTTTCACGCCCGGTGCATGGGCGGTTTAATAAGGGACACCCGCCCGGAGCCAGGTGTGCTTCCCCAGCCTCTTGGCCAAGGTTGCTCCCGGAGGGGGGAGGAAAGGACCGGCTCTGTGTCTGAACAGGAGCCGTCAGGCCCGGGACTGTGTGAGCATCTGTATCAAGGTCACATGCTCTTGTAGGAAGTCCCCAGGGGTCGCAGCTGCAACGGGTGGACAATAATAGGCTTTCCGCCAGGCGTGATGTTTTCCTCTCAAGGGGGTGCAGGGGGTGAGCTGAGGCCCCCCTCAACCAGCTGGTGCTCACTTGCTGAAACTGATGGAGCGACGGAGCATGGGGATCTCAGAGTCCCCGTCTCAGGGTCTGGCAGAGCCCTGGGGCCTCACCAGCCCCAGGCCGCCTTCTGCAGGCCAATCCGTTCCTTCCACCTTGGAGTTTTACCACAAACGAAGATATCAAGGCCATGCCCTAGAAGCCAAGCGTGAGTATCAGCCACACTCACACCTCATGGCTTTTGCCAGAGAAGTGCCCTCCTCCTGGGATACTCCCTCCTGGCCTCCCTCAGGTGACTGGCTAAACACCAGGCATCCCAGAGGCCTTCCCTGAACCGAAAGCCATTTCCTTGTTTGCACACTGCCAGTGGCTTCCACGGGAGCAGCTCCATGGGGGCGGGATTTGGCCTGTTCTTCATGGTGTGGCTCAGTTGGTTGAGCATAATCCCAAACCAGTTCAACTCAGGGCACATGCCTGGATTGTGGGCTTGATCTCCAGTAGGGGGCGTGCAGGAGGCAGCTGATCTATGTTTCTCTCAACGACCATTCTCTCCCTCTCCCTTCCTCTCTCTCTAAAATCAATTAGGAAAAAAACCCCCCAAAAAACTAAACAAAAAGGGCCTACTTTGTTCACTGTCATATTCCCAAGCCTAGCACAGTGCCTGGCACATAATGGATGCTCCATAGATTTCAGCTAAAATAACCAAAAAGTCATCTTACTCTGGGTTTCCAGATAACCCAGGAGCTCACGCTAGTTTGTGTCCGGGGATGCCCTGTGCATGTGGGTGCTGGGCAGTGGGTTTAAAACATTTAACTTTCAACAGTACCGAACAGATCATATGCCCTCTAGTTGGCCGCACTCCCCAGCACTCCCTGTAGCCTCACACACATTACCTGCCTGGTGCCTGGAGGCCTTGGTTTTGCAATTCCTAATGTAAGTAATGTAGCTGTTGATCAGCTCCAACCTGTTTGTGGGGGAGAGGGCAGTGTCTATGCCGACAGACACCATGCTTATTGTTAATGAGGTGTCACTGGCAGAAAGTTGGTTGTGTACCTTGTGCTGGGCACACCGTCTAACTGAAGAAGGATCGGTGCAGGGAGTTCAATGACTGGTTGAGGCTGCAGAGCTGGGGGAGTGGATGTGAGGACTGAGACCCGGGCTTGTCTGAGGGGAGAGATGGGTGCTGGGTGTCGCATGAGGAAACATTCAGTGATGTCCCGAGGGAGGTGGTGACACTGTATAAGGAAGTGTACAGAGGTCTCCGTGCACGTGGACAACGCTTGGCTGGAGCAAGGCTCAGAACAGTCCCTGGACTGTAGGCACATCCGGCCTCCTGGTCATCCCAGAGGTGAGCTTGGCTGGCACCGCGGCCGTGAGAGGGGCACAGGGTCCCAGCACCAGCCGCGGAGACGCCCGTGCTGCGAGTGGCTCCTCTCACTCCCGGGGAACTCAGGGGAGTCTCCGTGACCCTACGCCTTCTGCTCTGACAGGGGCAACGGCCCCTGCGTGGAGCTCCAGGGCAGCAGAATTAGCTGACACTGGATCACGTGTTCTACTTTCCTTCCATTTGGGGCAAGGAAAGCAAGCTTCTCTCGCTCAGGGCTGTGGGATCCTGTTCTATTTTTTTGAAAAAAATTAAAAATAGATGAGTACAGGTGGCACATCGATTTGGTAAAAGTGGTGCAAAGGCAAGGGGCCGGCGGTGTGTGGCACGCACGGGCTGGGTGCAGCCCAGAACGGTCTACCCGATGAGGCCACCTCGAAGAGGTGCTCCTGGACACCTTGGGGGCCACACTCCCAACGCTGAGTCCCTGTCCCTCACGGCTCCCCCGGCAGCCCCTCCCTCTGCCTCCAGTTACTTAGGAAACCATCGTGGCTACCCCATGGCCCCGTCTTTCCATCCCCACCTCTAATCCATCAGCAACGCCTGCTATGCTTCAAGGTCTATCCACAGCAGAGCCCCGTGGCTCCTCCTGGGATGGAGCTCACCCTCTTTCCTCTAGATTAGGTCAACTGCTTCCTGACTGGACTCTGTTCATTCCCTATGGAGCCGCCAGAGTGCCTGCCCCCCTCCCTCCCACAGCATCCTCCATCGCTCCCACTCCCCCGAGAACAGAGTCCCCACGGCCACCCACAGGCCCTGCAGGCCCCAGTGCCCACCCCAGCGCCCGCCCCGCCCCGCCCAGCCTATTCTGCAGCCAGGCTCACGCCCACCCGGAGCCTTTGCCATGCTGTTCCTCCTGCCCGGTTCCCCCTCGGCCTGTGCCCTCACCCTGCTTGTCTCCACTCGGAAGTTCTCTTCTCTGCGAGGCCTTCCCTGCCCCCACACCCACAATTGTACCCGCTGCCCGCGTATTTCATATCCTCTTCCTTGTTTCACATCTTCAACTCTGACCCGTTATCCTTCTTACACATTTATTTTGCTTGTCATCCCCGGACAGCCCCAGAGGCCAGGGCTCGGAGGGCTGCAGATCCCGATTGTGCCTCACAGCCCCACCGGGAACTGTGCCTGGCACACAGCAGGTGCTCAGTAAGTATTTCTCGAGGAAGCAAATCTAGGGCAGTCCAGGCAGAACTGACCCTCTGCTGGCTCTTCCCAAACAACGAAGGAGGAAGCCGCTGGTAATGAGATCGCAGCCTCGCTCCGGCTCCAGAGGCGGCAGAGAGGGCCCTTCAGGCCCCTCTCCCGGAGCAGGGAGGCCGCC